CTCCCCCTCCCCCTCCCCGCTCTCTCTGTGGGTTCATTCGAACATTCGCCTCTGTGTGGTGTGGCGTGGTGACAGTAGTTCCGATGGTGTGTTTAGTGCGTGGTATGCTCGCTACCAGCGTGTGTGTCGGTCATTCGTACATGCCATGGGGGTTATGGAGGTAATGGGGGCGCGGCGGGGTGGGCCGGGCAAGGTCGTAATCATTGTTTCCTTCCTTCTAGAGTGCCATGTCGTTCGTGTGTGTGTGTGTGTGTGTGTTGGTTGGTGCTCTGTTCGCTTTGCTTGGTGGGTTGGTGGGTGTCTTCCTTGACGGCACATCATGACGACTGACTGAGTGGTGGATACATACATACGTGCTGCTGTGCGTGGATAAAAACATCATGATGCCATTTTTCTTCTCGGGCCACTGTGTTGTGAGCGAGAGGAGCAGAAAAGGAGACACACAGACACAAAGACACCCAGACAGACGGACAGACGGACAGACAGACAGACAGACATACGCACACAAACACGTCCGTCACGTAATTGGAAGAGAATGGCGGGCGGGTTGGCGGGCGCAAGTGAGTAGAGCAGCAGGACTCCAGTTTCTCGGATTTCTTGTGTAGTGACGCGTGTAACAGAGTGTGTCGGCCGGCCCCCATGCGCCCTCCCTCCCTCTCCCTCTCCCTCCCGCCCGCCCGCCCGACTGACTGCCATCGATGCAACTTTTTCCCCTTTATGTCTGTGAGTCTGTGTGGATACAGTATGGTCCGTGCATGTGCATGTGGGTTGGTGTTTGATATTGTTCCTCGATTGTTGGTGCCCCTGATTGATGCCTGCACACATACCAACACACATCCACACACATACAAACATACACACATACAATGGAGAAACGGAGGGCAGGGCAGGGCAGGGGAGGAGAGCGCAGGCAGGCAGGCAGGCAGGCAGACAGGCTGATGGATTGACAAATGGATGGATGGATGGATGGATGGGCTGGATGTCGGCTGGTGGAGTGACACATTTATGTGTGTACGTGTGTGTGTGAGTGTGTCGCGGTGAGTGAGTGATTGAGTGATTGCATGCCTTGAGGGACGCATTGATGCCTTCATGCCTGTATGCGCGCACTCATGCTCTGTCTGCAATTCGATCAAAGTAGTCAGTCGCGGTCGATCGAGCCATCCAGCCATCCGTGAGTGTCGACAAAACATCATCAAAACATCATTCATCATGAAAAGAACCCGTGACACACGCAAGCAATGTCAGCAGCATTTTCTATGTACAGGCCGCAAACATGGCACGTACCATTTCATTCAAGCTACCTACCCCCTCGCCCATTTATCTGTCCGCCTGTCTGTCTGTCTACGGGAAGGGGAACGAAATGGCAGCCCCCCCAGAGCCGTCTGTGCCGCTGTAGTCCTCGAGCTGTGTCTTGAAGGTGATGGACAGCTCCGACTCCTTGCGGCCGTCGGCCAGCGTCACCAGGGCACCCTCCACCTCCTCGCAGTGGCCCTGATGGATGGAAACAAATCGAGAGGCCTGCAATGCATGTCCATCCATCCATCCTTGGCTTGTGTGTTTGCTGACTGACCTGTGTGTGTGGTCTGTTGATGAGTCGCTGGATGTCGGGCGGGTACTGTGGGTCGAGGGCGGCCAACTCCTCTTTGACGCGGGTCATCTCCGCCTCACTCACGCGCAGGTGCTGCGCCAGGGTCGTCGGCACGATGCTACCCCCCGCCATGTTGGCCGTATACTCTATCAAGTGCTTCCTGAAAGACGTATACACACCCACCCACCCGTATCGTATGTGTGTCCCTGTGTATCCTCTGCCTAGCTGACCTGAGCTGACCTGACGACGTCCGTGAAGGCGAGTGCCGCCTCGAGGAACTCCTTCTTCACCTGCTGCCACCCACCCCTCAGCTTGTCCTTTACACCCACACGCAAGCACACACACGCACTCACTGGTGTCGTGTCAACACGTATTCAGTGCAGTGTTGTGTAGATATATGCACCTTCTTGGCCTTGGAGGCACAGTGCGCGTCGATGTCGGCCTTGACGCCCTGCCTGTCCATAGTCTGCAGGATGTTCTTGCGCCACGCCTCTCGAGAGAGGTACTCAGATGGAGCAGTGGTATGAAGCTGGTTGTTCATGGCCTCAATCCTTGTGATGGTGGCGGACGCCATCTCAATGCCGAAGACTCTGTCGCACGCTCTGACCTATGAAAACACACACACACACACACACCCGCTCCCCTGTCTGCCTGCCTGCCTGTCTGTGTGCCTGTCTGTGTGGATATTGCGTACATACCAGTGCGTAGCCACACACGAGTTGTATGTCGGGCTTGAAGTACCTGCAGCCGGCCATCCGTCCATCCATCCATCCGTCCATCAGAATATCCACACACATACATACGTATGACGCCGTCCGTCCCTTCCTCACTGACTGACCATGTGCGGTTCCTCATGGTCTCGATGGGCGTGTTGAGTGTGATCCTGCAGACGGCCTTGCGCCAGAAGAGGTCCGAGGCGATCCCGCCACAGCAGATGAACGGACCGGGCACCACCCTCATCCTAGACTTGCTGATGCACGTCGCTATCGCACTCGTCACCAGCCGACACGCCATCTGCAGCATCGCCAGCAGCATGGCGTTGTCCTCGTCACGCAACGGCGCCCCAGGCATGCCAACGGGCGCAAAACTGAGCAACACAGCCATCAAGGACGAGAGTGTGTGCACCCAGATGGCTCGTGACCTGACCCTCAGTCAGTCGTCCTGACTGACCTGAAACATGGGTACATGGCCATGTTGCCCAGGAGGGTGTGGGCGCACCGCGGCTTGCTGGATGAGTTCGTCGGCGCCTCCATTTGGACGGCCGCGAAGGTCCGGGGCGGGTAGGTCTGCAGCGTGACGCTAAGGTTGACGGGCACGGCAAGGCCATGGACACCGCCGACAATCTCGTCAACTATGGCCTTCTGGGTCTGCCTCTGCAAGCCAAACCGAATATATGAACAACACACACCGTCACGTCGTTGTCGGGCCATCCATCCATCCATCCCTTCCTTCCCGCCGACCTGCAGCTCGAAAAACTCGTCATTTCCCATCCAGTTGTAGACATACATGACGGCAGCCCTGTTGTGATTGAGCAGGCCCAGCGATAACCACTTCTTGGCCTGCAGAATGAGTCAGTCAGACCGCAAAACAAATGGAACAAATCGGTGCACGCACGTCCCAGGATGCTCACCTCCTTGCAGGCGGCCTTGTGGCCCGCTGACCAATGCATCGACTGGCACTCTCTGCTGCAGTAATGGACCAACTTGCATACGCTACAGCAGGGCATCGCGCCCGCAGCCGCCTTTCCGCAGGCTACACATCGTTTGGGGAACGACCTGCCGGCGTTCTGGCGGATCTTGAGGCCGCTGAGGTCGGCCGACGTTAGGGGCAGCCGCCGCCCCGACATCGCTGCCTTGCGTGCCCTGGGGTGGGGTGCGAGCTCGAAAGGCATCTCCCCCTATAATGAATGACGAGCGAAGCTCCCACAGCTTGTCACCAAGCTGCTCGGCACCGCGAACCTGATGGCACTAACGAAAGGGCACGGCAAGGTGCGGCCGGTGGCGGTGGGGGATGCAGTGCGGCGATGGGTGACGAGAGCAGTGTGCACGCAGCACAAAAACAAGGTGGCCGCCTACTTCGCCCCTCTCCAGTGCGCAGTCGGCACCCCAGCGGGCAACGAGAAGCTCTTCAAGGCCGCCGAGACATTCATCCAGAGCCGGAGGGAGGGCG